TGTCAGCCCTGGGTTTCCTGAGTTGGTTCTGAGGAGTGCCCCAAAAGGAGGGGAAGGAGAGACACAGAGGGGCTAGGGATTTTTAAACTAATGGTTCTGTTTGAGGAGCACTTAATAGTAGCCCCATTTTGCATAGCAAATCTCTATCTAAAAGGTTCACAGGAGATCAGGGGATCAGGAGAAAAGAATGCTCCGAGGACACATATTGAGGGAATAACTTGGGAACTTTTGTGGGCTTCCCACTTACCCTGACCAAATCCAAGATATCCTGAGTTTTAACATGTTTATGCCGTAGATGGGTTAGGACAGATGTGGAGGCCCCAGTATCAATCAAGCAATCCTAATATTCTCCTCCTATCATGATGGTGGTGTGAGGCTCACATGTGTGAGGAGACTGGGTTAGTGGCACTGAGTATGTAAGAACAGAAGGAAAGAACTCATCCCAGTTACCTCTTCTCCCTCTCTCCCCCACACCTTCAAGCTGATTGAGACCTTGTGGCCTTTTGCTTCAAATTCCACTTCTTCTTTCTACAATTTCAGAGAATGTGCCCTATCTTTCCACAGTAAAAGCATTCCCTTGCCTCCCTTCTTGATTCCTGAATGGCACTGGAAATAGTAGCCACCACCACAGTGGATTTTAATTTGCTAGCTTTCACTCACCTCTGGTAAACATAAGTGACAACTCCTTTTAATTCATATATCTGTGATTTGTACCACACCCCCTCCCTAAAGCTTTGGAATAAGTCATTCTTGTAAAGGAAGAAGAGACCCACACAGGTGGCATGTTAGTGATGGGAAGGGGGAATATGTGAGAGAAGGGAAAAGGTCAGAGCCAAGATGGTGAATTTGAGTCAACCCAGCTGACCTCTCCCAACCCTCCAAACAACTTTAAAATAATGCCTCAAATCCAATGTTTGAGTGGCAGAACCAACAGAAGATCAGGGTGAGACATTTTTCCAACTTAAGACAACTTAACAGGTCAGAAGGAGAGGTCTTTGTCACGTGAGTGGGTAACAGCCCAGAGTGTGACAGCAGCACCAGCAGTGAACCCTGGAGGCTGCAACCAGAGCAGTAGCAGCAGCAACTTCAGGAGCTTTCAACCCAGACACAAGAAAGGGGTCAGACAACTGGTCAGAAAGACTACAGAGGACCTGGCACTGGGTACAGCTGCCATTGATTGGCAACTCTATTGTCTATGCACAGTTCCGAGTCACAGTTTCATGGCAGAGAGGGACACTAGCACTTGTGGCTGCAGGGAACCAGGGAAACTTCCTGGGTAAAGATTAAAGTGTAGACCTTGAGAGCAATGACCATACCTCTCCCTGCATCGTAACATCTTGGCAACACCAAAAACTTGCAAACTACCAGAACTAGCTCTGAAAATAGAAGCACAAAAAAGTCTAAAACTTAAGACAGTGCTCCCCACTCCTAAGTAAGCAGAGCCCAACTTTAACATAAAGTTCAAAGTCAAGAAATAGTATGGGAAAATGAGAAAAAAAAAGAATTTGACCTTAAAAACTACTATGGTGGCAGAGAAGACTAAGACATAAACTTGGACAAAGACTATAATGTGAAAACAGCTACCAGCAAAGCATCAAAGAAAAATGTTAATTGGAACCAAGACCAACAATAATTCCTGAAAGAGTTGAAGAAAGAGATATGAGTGGTAGAGGAAAAATTGAGAAAAGAAATTAAAGTGATGCAAGAAAATTATGAAAAAAGAACTAACAGCTTGGTAAAAGAGGCACACAAAAAATACAGAAGAAAATAATGTCTTAAAAAACAGAATTAGAAAAGGGGGTTAAAAAATTTACTGAAGAAAAGAACTTCTTAAAAAGCAGAATTGGTCAAATGGGAAAAGAGGTACAAAGTCTCACTGAAGAAAATAATTCCTTAAAAATCAGTATTGGGTAAGTGGAAGCTAATGAAGCATCACGAAACAATAAAACAAAGTCAAAAGAAGAAAAAAAATAAGAAAATATGAACTATCACCTGAAGAAAACAACTGACCTAGAAAATAGATTAAAGAGAGATAATTTAAGAATTGTTGAACTATCAAATTATCAAGAAAAACTGCCCCAATATCTTAGATCCATTAGAAATTGAAAAAATCTACTAATCACCTCCTGAAAGAGATCCCAAAATAAAAACTCCCAG